CCCCTCCCCACCGGCCCCGCCCAGGCCCCGTCAGCCCATCCCCCATCCAGACCTGGCATCCCACCGCACACCTCCGCGTCCACACCCCCTTGTCCCTGCTGTGCTGGGGTCCATTGGCCCAAATAAACAAAAGCCATTCTCCGTACCGAGCATAGCAGGGCTGTTGGGGAGGCAGCTGGGGCGAAGAGGGACGAGGTTGGGGCACACGCTCACCTTCTGCGAAATAGTGCGGGGGGCACATCTGGAAGCCACCGACTCCACCGTGGGCCCGTCTGTGACTAAAGGGCAGCGACTCTTCCGCACGGGGAGATCCCTGGTGCTGGTGTCCACGCCCCTCCCCAGCACACCCGGCCAGCCCTGGCAGAGGCAGCCACCGTGGTCCGCTGCGGCTGCGGCCCCGCCCTTCAGCCCCGCCTCTCGGCTCAGACCTCTGCGGTGCAGAAGGCGTGGGAAGATGTCTGTACCCTAGCCCATCCCTAGGGAGGTGGGGCCGGCGGTGCAGACTCCGGGGTCCAGTGCTACCTCTGTGCACACCTCTGGGGCATAAAACCACCAGGAGACCGCGTCCGGGCTGGGGATGGGCTGCTCCACCGGCTGGCCCAGCTTGGACGCAGGGTGTCTTGCAGACCACGGGGTTTGGACTGCGCCTGCCCGGGGTGTGCCATCTGGGAGGCTGTCAGGTCTCTATGCCCCATCTGCTGGACTGGGCAGGGGAACAGAGGTGATGACTGGAGGGCAGGAGGCACAGGGTAGGGTGGGAGATACTGAAGGTACTTCCGGTCAGCAGGACCTCCAGGGAGCGTGGTTCGAGCTGAAGCTAGCTGGAGCCTCGTTGGCCAAGGATCACAGGATAAATGAGGACGCTTGGACTGTTAGGGACAGGGTGGTCCATGCCACTGAAGGAGCTACCCAGACATGCCTTTCAGGGAGGCCTGGTTGAGTGCTGTCCATATCTTAGTCTCTGAGGGGCAAAGGGCAGGGTCAAGGCTGGCCAGGGGTGGCAGGCTAGCCCCAGTGGAGGGTGCACCTGATGGTCCTCCAGGGGCTTCTCAGATCCTGGCCTCCTGCTGCACCTGGCCACCCTTGCTTCCAGCCTGTCCACCTCTTAGGGCCCAGAGCCACAGGTCTCCGGCCCCTGCTCTTGACCACCGAAGGTCCTCAGGACAGTGGTTCTAGCCTTTTCCACCATGACCCAAGACCATAACAGCTTGTCCATGCGAGCCTCATGCACCCATGCCATGCTGTCCGTCATTCAGAGCTGACCTCGAAACCTCAGGCAGCAGCGCCGGTCTTTGGGGTCACCCTGCAGCTTGCCGACCCCAGTCTATCCCTTTCTGTACTATTCAATTTCGCAAAGTTGCCTGGGCCCTGATATGGGCTGGCTGGGGCAACTCTGGGGTTCTGCTCTCTTTCAGGCTCAAGCAGGTGCCTTATTCAGGCGTCTTTGTCCACTGGACATGACAACCCAGCTGGTGTGACCCGACAGACTTTTCAGAAAAAAATAAGAAATGTTAGCACTGAGTTCTCTGTTTCACTCGTAGCCACATGTCCAGTCTGGTGTTAATGACCACATCTGGGTTTTTGTGTAGTAACCTTTTTGGCAGAGAAAAAAGGCTGACCAAGCGAGCGCAGGTGCCCTAAGGAAAAAATAAGCTCTTAAAAAAAAAAAATGCTGGTCCGTGAACTTGATCTGACAGCCAGCAGATGGGTCACCACCCAGCTGTCTGAAAACCCAGCATGGTAGTTAAAGCCGGACTCCCACGTGGCCAACCACAGTTCAAGTCACAGACCTGGTGGCTTGCTTTCTCATTTCTTCTCTCTCTGTCTCTCTCTGGAGAGCATATGTACCTTATAGAAAATTAAATAATAATACATAAATTTAAAGGGAAAAGAAAACCACGCCCCTGGGACCGCTGTGATCTCGCCCTGCCCCAGCCACGCCCACTCCTTTCGGCCAATCACCACTGCAGGGAGTTGCTCTTTGAATGTTCCCGCCCCCTGCCCGGAAGCCTCCTTGCGATTGGCCCCTCCTCGCCCCGCCTCGGCGCCCTGAGCTCGAAGTCCGACGGCCCCCGGAGCGCCGGAGAGTGCAGACATGGAGCTGGGGCTCGCGGGCCGGAGGGCCCTCGTCACCGGGGCGGGCAAAGGTGGGAAGGTGGGCTCGTGGGCGAGGGGCTGCAAGCCGCTCGGGGAGGGTGCGCTCCCACTGAGCCGTGCTCCCTGCAGGCATCGGACGCTGCACGGTCCAGGCACTGCATGCTGCTGGAGCGCGGGTGGTGGCGGTGAGCCGGACCCGGGAGGATCTGGACAGCCTGGTCCGCGAGGTAGGCGCCTCCCTGCCCCAGCCCTGCGGGGCGGGCCGCTCGCCCTGCCTCCCCTCGCGGGCGCTGCACTTCTCCCGCGGGCCTGGGCACCAGGCAGTGCGGCTGGCGGGGTGTGTGGGCAGCCAGGAGACCGACAGAGCGGCCAGACCCCCTGGGCGCTGACATGGCCACGGAGCTGGCCCTGAGCCAGAGGGTGCTGGCCCTGGGAGGAAGGGAATTGGCTGGAGGCGGAGGTGGGGCCAGACGCCTGGTCTGCAGCCCTGGATGTGCCCAGGAAGGGAAGAGGCGGTATGCACTCTTTACCTCGCCCCTGGTCCCCCAGCTCTAGCCTCCCTGTCAGCTGGCAGAGGTCCCGCTGTGCCCCTTCATGGGCAAGGGACTTCTGGTAGCAGCGCCCCACCACCACACACAGTGCCCCGGGGTGGAGGCTGTGTGCGTGGACCTGGGCGACTGGGAGGCCACAGAGCGAGCGCTGGGCGGCATGGGCCCCGTGGACCTGCTGGTGAACAACGCCGCCGTGGCCCTGCTGCAGCCTTTCCTGGAGGTCACCAAGGAGGCCTGTGACAGGTGAGTAGTTGCAGGGGGCGAAGCCAGAGGGGCTGTCCCTAAGGAGCCCCAGTCCCTGCCCACGGTCATCTGTCTGCTTCTAGGTCCTTTGAGGTGAACCTGCGAGCTGTCATCCAGGTGTCCCAGGTGTGCTGCCCTGCGGGCTGGGACCACGGCCTCGTCCTTGTGGTGCACTCTTGCCTCATCCTCCTTCTGCTGTTCCAGATGGTGGCCAGGAGCCTGATAGCCCGGGGCGCCCCAGGGGCCATCGTCAACCTCTCCAGCCAGGCTTCCCAGCGGGCACTGCCTGACCACAGCATCTACTGTGAGCTAGCCCAGCCTGCCTGACCCCACCTACACCCTGCCCCACACCAGCCAGCGTGGGCCCACGCTGTTCCTGTTCACAGGTTCTACCAAAGCTGCCCTGGACATGCTGACCAAGATGATGGCCCTGGAGCTGGGGCCCCACAAGGTGAGCCAAGCTGGGGCACCTCCCGTCAGCCAGCCTGCCCCCAGGACCCCCTGTACCTTGCCAGCCCCCACCTGTCCTGGCACAGATCCGTGTGAATGCAGTGAACCCCACCGTGGTGCTGACGCCCATGGGCCAGGCCAACTGGAGCGACCCCCACAAGGCCAAGGCTATGCTGGACCGCATCCCCCTGGGCAGGTTTGCAGGTGAGCTGGGCAGGAGTCCAGCACAGAGCTACATCCGGGTGGGGGGCCTTCGCATGTATCCCTGAGCCCCATCCTGCACACAGAGGTGGAGAACGTGGTGGACACCATCCTCTTCCTGCTG